AAGGCACAGGACCCCACGGGGAGCAGGACACTGAAGGGCCGGGACCCCATGTGGAGCAGGGGCTAAAGGCACAGGACCCCACGTGGAGCAGGACACTGAAGGGCCGGGACCCCACGTGGAGCAGGGGCTAAAGGGTGAGACCTCACATGAAGTGGGGGGCAGAAGGGATGGTGCCCCCATACAGAGAGTGGGGGCTCAAAGGTTAGGACACTCAGTGAGGTGGGACAAGGCTGCAGGGGCAGGCTCCCTAATGGGAATGAGGTGGGCAAGAGGGCTGTGCAGTGTGGTGCCAGGCCCTGAGTGGGGTGGACAGGGCTGGGGTACTCTCCCAACCCAAGGGGCCACAGGGTGTTGTTTGTGGTGACCAGTGAGAAGCAGCGTTCAGGCTGCTGTAAAGAGACCAGCCAGGACTCCTGGGGGAGACAAGGGGTCTGCCTCTGGGGGGGGGCGGGTTCTGCCTCTGAGGGTCTGCCTCTGGGGGGGTCTGACTCTGGGGGAGTCTGTCTCTGGGGGGATCTGCCTCTGGGGGGTCTGCCTCTGAGGAGTCTGCCTCTGGGGAGTCGGTCTCTGGGGGCGATCTGTTTCGGGGGGGGTCTGCCTCTGGGGATGTCTGCCTTTGGGGGAGTCTGCCTCTGGGGGGATCTGTCTCTAGGGGGACCTGCCTCTGGGGGGGGATCTGTTTCTGGGGGGGTCTGCCTCTGGGGGGTCGGCCTCTGGAAAGAATTGTGGCCTTGGTGACCCTGTGGCAGCTCTGCTTTGTCCTGTAGGGGTCACTGTGAGTCGGAACCGACTGGACAGTGGTGGGTCCACATGCCCCTCCCGAGGCGCAGTGTCAAGTTCCAGCCGGGACAAGGGACAAGACACCCCAAGTCCTCACACAGGGAGGCCCTGCTCCCACACTGCAGGGATGTACTGAGGGGCCGCTCCCCACGGGCCCGAGTGGCTGCCTTCTCTGCCCTCCTTCGACCCTGGCCACCATGCTGGCCTTGCTCAGCTCCCAGAAGTCTGTGGCTGGCAGTGGGCTTGAGACAGGTCAGTCTGAAGCTCTGGCTTTGGCAAACGACCCCGGGGTGGGAGTGAGGCTCGTGGAGGAGGACACAGTGGGCCAGGTCACAGGGGAGAAGGCAAGTATGTCCCCCTTCCCAAGCCCAAAGCCCTAGCGAGGGAGGTGGGTGCCACCAAGAGGCCTGGCTCAGAAGGTACAGTCCAGGGTGTCACCTACCGATGGCCAGCCGTTCCAGGCGCTTGCCGTGCTCCGGCGGGATGGCGTACCTGCCAGAGAGAAGGGAAGAGGTCAGAGCGAGGTTGGAAGAGACAGCCCAGCACGCGTAGTCCCCAGGGAGGGGCCCCAGGGAGGGGCTGGCACACATGATCAGCGTAGTGAGGGAGGGGATAGGGGAGGGGAATGGTCAGAAAGAGACCCTCAAGGCAGTGGGCATGAGGGTGGCACAGGAGAGCCAGCATCACCAGTGCGGAATTCCCAGTTAAGCCTGCCCCGTGGATGAAGGAAAAAGGCAAGAGCGGACCTGGGTGAGGGGTACAGAGAGCCAAACACCACAGCCCCCACTGCCACGCAGCCTGGCCGCCCCAGTCGCTTGCCTCTACTGTCACGTCCTCATCTTTCTGTTTTGTGCATTTCTTTCCCACGGGTTTGCACACAAAGCTCACTTTCACCGTGTTTCATACTTCCCTCCATTCACACTGTTTCATACAGTCACTCTGATATCCTATTCATAGGACTAACCACCACTGAACTATGCCCACTGTCACCCCATCTTTCTAGGTCCCCTTCAAATATTTCCCATTTCCTTTACCCCGTGCCTCCATGCTCCAGACCATGTGACCTCCTGCCCACTCTGCCCCCTCTGCTCGCCCCCCTCTCCTCCAAGGGCCCCCAGACACGTTTGACTAGTTAGTCTTCTGGTTTGTACTGTAAAGGTCTCATGCAGTACTGAGCCCCACTTTCACATGCTCTTCTTTTGAAAGACTGTCACTGTCTGCACAAACACACGAGGTGGCGATTTTCACACAGCACAGGGAGAGTGACAAGTACACAGACTGTGTGCACAGGGGCCTCGCTGAGACGCTCTGCTGGGGGTACACAGGGAGACCTGACCCCAACACAGCCCTGGGAGTGGGTTCCCCAGCAGAAGGCCTGAGGACCTACTGACCAGGAGCATCCGGAGGGGGAGCACCACAAAGTGGAATGAGGGGGAGCACCACAAAGTGGAATGAGGGGGAGCACCACAAAGTGGAATGAGGGGGAGCACCACAAAGTGGAATGAGGGGGAGCCCTGGGGAGGGGGAGCACGGGGGAGAAGGAGCACAGCTGAGGGGAGTATGGAGAACAGCAGTGGGAGCTGGGAACATGGAGGAGGGGAGCACGGGGGGGGCAGAGAGGAGATGCATGATGAAGGAGGAGCACAAGAGGAGGACCACAGGGAAGGGGAAGCATGGGGGAGGGAGAGGACAGTGGAGGGGGAGCACGACCGAGAGGGAGGATGGCTGAGGGGGAGCATGGTAAATAGGCGCACACGGAAGGCACGCAGAAGGGCCACAGCAAAGGGAGAGCACAGCACAGAGGGAGCATGGAGAAGGGGAGGAGAGCGAGGACGGTGGAGGGGAGCACCAGAGGACAGTAGAGAGGGAGCACAGGGAGGAGAGCAAGGGGCGGAGGGGGAGTACCAAGGAGGGGGAGGCTAGGGGAGGGGAAGACAATGAAGAAGGAGCACAGGGGAGGAGGAGAATGAGGGGGTAGAGGGGGAGCACGGAGGAGGGGGAGCACGGAGGGGTACAGAGGAGGGAGGACAATAGAGAGGGAGCACAGGGGAGGAGAGAGAGCATGATGGAAGCGAGGCCAGTGGAGGGGCAAGGATGGTAGAGGGGTGTACCGTGGAGGAAAGTTTGGTGGGGTACACGGGGGAGGGGAGGACGGTGGAAAGGGAGCATGACGGGAGCAGACAGTGGAGGGAAAGCACCAGAAGGGGAGCTGGGAAGCCCACAGGGGGGCTCTGTGTCCTTCCAAGACCCAGGAAACCCATGAGAACTGGGGTCCTCCCTCACAGGGTCACCTCTTCCCCAGGGGCACCGTGATGACCAGCACATCTGCAGTTATTCTACCTGAGTGGAGTGGAGGCCAGCCGGTGGTCTCCCCACCTTCTCCAGCACAGGACGGCCGCCCATCAGCACAGCTGGGGCGGGGGAGGGGGCTGCTCTAAGATGATGACAATCGCCCCCTCTCCCCACTGGAACATGACGGTCAGGTGGGGTTAGCCTGGACGCTGCTGCCACCCCCCAGTGCAGAGGCGGAGGTCCACCGAGGCACTGGGCCTTTTCACCCCGCGCCTTCAGATATCCTCAAATAAAAAAGCAAGGAAGGGGAGGCGAGGTGCTGTGTGATCTCCAGCCTGAGAGAATGAGGGTAATTGGGTCCCAGGCCTCTCCAGAGCCCCCCACCTGTCACCAGGGACCTTTCTGGCCCCACACTGAGGTTACAGCCCAGGTCTCCTTTAAGTGACCTTTTCTCATTGACGGGAACACGAGCAAAGCTCATCCCGGACCTAGCACCTCTGTGGGATCAGCACCCCCACAGTGGGGCCTGGAACCTTCCAGCCATGTGGGGAGGGGTCCAGGGGCTGGGAGGCACTAAATTCACGACTTCAAGGCTGCGATGATTAATGCCATATCCCCTCCACAATGCAGCAGCACTCACTTAATTACCGCCTGTAATTGGGAGTTGTAAAGATAAGATTAATTGAATCTGGTGGATGTTAAAAGTTTAATACGTTGGAACACGGCTGTTCTGTTATCGGGAGCAGCAGGCAGTGGGGCTCTGGGCCCAGCTCTCGCAGAGTGGCCCCTGGGGAGATTAGAGGGAACTTCTGGCCAGAAGCCGCGTACAGACAGGATGGACTTGGGGAGTCAGTCGGTGTGGGGGAGCACCGGCCAGCGGAGGTTTCTCCTGCCACCTGGACCCCAAGTCAGGACAACCTCAGGGTTACCAAGTCTGACCCCAGGCCCTCAGGGCTGAGCCCTCAGACTCGTGCAGGACATCAATCGCCCACCAACGGCAGCCAATGCCAGCTGGGTTCTGAAAGCCCCTCCCCACCCGACTCTGCAGCCAGGATGAGCCAGAGAGACCACAACAGACGAATGACCGTGACAGATGAGTGACAACTGTGCAGACGAGCAGGGTCCTCACCCCTCTGTCCACCCCCGTCAGTGGGGACTGGGGGAGCAGGAAGGGTGTGGGTGCAGCAGAGTCCATGGCACCCAGGACAGAGCCTCTGAAGGTCCCCTCCCAGCTCCCGAGTCAAGCTGGCACGTGTCACCCCTGTCACCACCCTGTCTGAGGCTGGCTCTGAGGGCCAGACAAGAGGAAGGGAGACAACAAGGCAGGCAGGAAGGAGAAGGTCAAGGCCAGTAGGCCTGGAGGGAGACAGACAGCAAAGCAGAAAGGCGAGGAGGAGGGAAGAAGAACCAGGACTGAGGCGAGGCGGTGGGCGGCACCCAGCCGCAGTGTCTGTCCAGCCACAGTGTCTGTCCAGCTGCAGGGCCTGTCCGCTGGCGGGCAGCGTCTGGCTGGCTATTAGCAAACGGCTGCTCGGCTGGAGTTGGTTTATTGGTCAACGACACACAAAGACAGCTTGCCTCTTCCTGGGAGCGCCATGCCCACTGCCCACGACAAGGTCAAGATCTGCAGCTGAAGTCAGCTTAGCGCTGGCCCGTGGGCCCGCATTCTCTCCACACATCGGCCTCCGTGCCTGGCTGCGCTGTGAGACGGGGCCAGGGGCCTCCACTTGTTCTACGGCTCCAGAATGGACCGAAGGACAGTCCCGTGGCCTGCGTGTCATCCCGTCAGAGCCTCTGTCCACCCCATGCTCCCTCTGTGCCCTCCGCTTCCCCCAGGCCTGGCCAGGCTGCACCCTTCTAAAACTTCTAGAAGCCCCCAGGAGGAGCCCCTCAGGCCACACCCTCAGCAGTGTCCTCCAGAGTCCCCAGCTGGTGTGGGAGGGACGGTGCTCTGAGCTGGCAGGAGGGCGGGAGTGCCCAGAAAGCAGCCTGCACTAACAGAAGAGTCTAGAAGCTGGAAGAGAAAGCGCAATTCTGGAAACTCGGGAGTCCACAGGAGGAGAGCAGCTCAGGATCCCGGGGACAGCGAGAGCTCCGCGTGACGAACGTTCCAGAAACCTGTGCTCCCCCACAATGGAGCAGGCTTCCTCAGCACGAGTGCAGGGGGTCAGGAGAGCCTCTGGGAGGGGTCACCTGGAAGGCCCCTCAGCCAGTGTCCGCCTCCCACAGCGACCTGCATGGGCTCTGATCCATGACTCAGGACACCCTGTTCTGGACACCGCTGCAGCTCAATTCTAAGCGCTGACACCGAGGCTGGGCCGTGCTGGAGGCCACCCCTGGCTCTCTGGTCCTGAACACTCCAGACAGGTCACTTCATGAAGACCATGTCAGGAAGCAGGGCAGCTTGGCCGAGCCCCAGCCATCACCGGCAGGTCTGGCGAGCACCTGGGTGACCATGAATCGGAACCAAATGCTGGGGACTGTCTGGGGCTATGGGGGGCAGATTCAAGCCTTTATCCAGCTGCCAGGCCAGGGCTGCAGGAGGGAGGATGTGGGTACCCACTGAGGAGAAGGGTCAGGGCTGCAGGAGGGAGGACGCGGGCACCCACTGAGGAGAATGCAGGAGTAGAGCAGAGAGGGAGGAGCCAAAAGAGAGACTGGAGCCAAGAATCAGGATGTCCATGGTGATCCCTAAAAAACCACGGCCAGGAGCCTAGCACTTCAGGACAGAAGGGCAAGAGACTGCAGGAAGGAAGTTCAGCAGCTTCCTGAAGGCACACAGGCTGGGAGGTGGGGAGCGGGCCCCAGACCTCCAGGTGTCTCGGGCTCCCTCTTTATGAACTATTCTGAATGTCCTTCCACCCCACTGTGGGCTGCTGCCAAGTTCACCTCAAACTCATGGAGACACGACTTGTCAGTGCAGAACTGAGCTCCAGAAGCCGACCACCAGGCCTTTCTTCCAAGGTGCCCCGGCGAACTCCCACCTCCGATTTGGGAGCTGAGAGCCAAGTGAGCCGTCACGATGTGCCATCCAACCCACTTCACCTGTGGTTTGCCATCAAGTTGGACCCAACCCTTAGCTGAACCTCCAGGAGGTTTTTGGAGGCAGTAAGTCACAGGAGATCGCCCATTCTTCTAAGGAGCAGCTGATGGATTTGAACTGCTTGCCTCTGGGATTACAGCACAACTTCACAAACGAA